ATTCTGCTGACTGGTCCATTTTACAGAAAGCTGATTGGTCTGTTTTGACAGGGTGCTGATTGGTGCATTTACAAACCTTGAGCTAGACACAGCACTGATTGGTGCATTTATAATCCTTTAGCTAGACATAAAAGTTCTCCAAGTCCCCAGCAGATTAGCTAGATAGAGAGTGCTGATTGGTGCATCCACAAACCCTGAGCGAGGTACAGAGTGCTGATTGGTGCATATATAATCCTCCAGCTAGACATAAAACTTCTCCAAGTCCCCACCGGACTCAGGAGCCCAACTGGCTTCCCCTAGTGGATCCCGTGCTGGGACCACAGGCGGAGCTGTCTGCTAGTCTGGCGCTGAGCCCCTGCACTCCTCAGCCCTTGGGTGGTTGATGGGACTGGGTGCCACGGAGCAGGGGGCAGCACCCATAGGGGAGGCTCGGGCTGTGTGAGAGACCACCAGAGGGGGGTTGGGGGGGCTAAAGAAGTCAGTTCCATTCCTGACTTCTTCAGCTCTGTGAGGCAATTAAAACCCTGTTGTTGACTTCAGTTAGCTTGAACTGGATTTCTGACACTTGAACAGAATTATTTATTCTGTGGGGGAAGCAATTCACAATGGATGTACAATTGGACAGGAAGATCTCAAAGTTCCCACCAAACTCTACAACCTCTTGCTTCCAAATGTGCTTAAAAAAACTAGGTAAAAATAAAAAAAATCAAAATATTGTCATTACAACACTGCACTTTGTGTGACTTTTCTGAAACGGGATACGTGTAACACAGTTATGCTATAAAGTTACTGCTGAAGAAAAGGATACAATGTCAAACACAGACGAACCTAAGCTTTTGTTTGCTATGGAAGATATCTCAATTATCAGTAGAAGCTATAAAAATAAGCATCCATAAACCTGCTTCTAAATAAATAAATACTCAAAGTCCAGCAGCTATCCCTGAGAGTCCTAAAAATATCTTGAAATTTCCTGAAAAAATTGCTCCAAATGATTCATTTAACTTCTATGTTCCCAATTAATGTTTCTTTTACCTCATTTCTTAAAATAAATTCTAGAATTCTATCTCAGAATTTACAAAATGTTATATATGTGGATACTATGTTGTCCAATTCAATAAACACACTGAAAAATATCATACTATTGCTCTTATAAGTATATTTTTATATGTGATTTGAGAGTTGATAAGATAGTTTATTTCTAGCCATTTATAAAATAAAACAAAAATATTCATCAGGCACTTGTCGTGAAACATAACTTCCTGTTATAATATTGTTTCTATGGGGACATCAGATCTGAGATCCGTCATTTCAACCTATAATGCCTTTTCCAGGAATGGAAACATAAAAATATTTGAAAGATAGTTATAAAATATTACTTTTAAAACACAATTTTTGAAAGCATAAGATACTACATTCTAATTGAAATTAAAAACACCACCACTGTGAACACATTGAACAAATAATCAATAGATCTTGATACCTTGAATGTTGTCCCCAGTCATCTAATGGATCACCCTTGAGATAATTAGCCCAAGAGTTTAAGTTGGATGTGAAGGATCATGATATTAATTAAATATGTACTTGTAAGATTTGTAAAGCAAAACATTATCCACACTAACAGAGCAGTTCTTGTTCTTTGTGCAATGTGGAATAAAGCTGCTTTTTATCATAAAGAAAAGACACTGGACAAAAGATTTTGTTTCAAAAGAAGATTGGTTGTAGTGAGCAGGTTGATCACTTTTGCAGCCCTTTCCCATTTAATAATAAAAATTTCAGTTTAGTTAAGATATCTTAAGTTTAAGCACACAGCCAAGCCTTGTATATACCTGCCCAAACCCACATTTCCTAAGATAGGCAATACTTGACTTAAGTTAACCAGTATATTCCATACTCATGAGCAGCATAGGGGCAGACATGTTGTAAACATTCCAATCATGAGGAATCTCAGAGTTTTCTTGGAGTGTTAAGACAAAGCATTCTCTCTTCCTCTGCATGCTATAGTGTGTGAAATGTGAAAACTAGAGCCACCTTGAGAAATGTTGCCTGAAGTTTAAACCAACATGCACAATTAAGATTACACACATACACATGCGTGCACACACACACACACACACACCAGGACACTGAAATAAACACTAAACTGTCACTGAAATGTACCCTATCTTTTGACTTCCATTGATGAGCCAACATATTCTCTGTTGTTGGAGCAGTCTGAGTCAGATTTTCGATAGCTGAATTCATTTTATCAGATACAGTCACCATTAGTAAATTATGCATATTATGTTACTAGTATCTTTACCTCCAGTGTTTAAAGAAATCTGTAAATGAATGATAAATTATTGATATTAAAGCAAAATTTAAAGTGTATCAACAAAATGAAAAAATAGTTAAATCTAATTAACCAGAAGGTCGAGGATGAAAGGAATTGATTTTTCAAAATGTTCGTTGTGTTATGTTCACACAGGTTACAAATAATATGATAATAATATTTCTATGCAAAATCCCCAGGAAGCATCCATGTATTTAAAGAGAAAGAACAGCTTACTTCAACTGATCATGAAATTCTTCTAATTTAAGGACTAGTCGTAATGTCTAAGAACACTCAAAGTGGGCCTTGCTATAATGGGACTCCTTAGACACTTCTCAAAGAAAAGGGTTGCCTGGCCTTGGAACAAAAGAAGAAAATACAGATTCACTCAAAACAATAGTCTCTTAGAGTTTCAAGAGTAGAAATATATTAAAATAGTATATAGATTTAAATTTTGCTGAAATTACTAATATTGAAATGAGACAGGTCAGAGTAAATTATGACAGTCATGCAAGAAGAATTATTCATGTTTAAGCCTCAGAAGTATATTTAGCATCCCTTTTGGTATAAATGGTCTCTTGATCACTAAGAAACTGGGATACATATCTTATCTCCCAAATATAAGCAGACATCATAGTATAGGAGAATATGCCCTTTCTATTTTCTGCATCTATGATAAAGAAATCTCTCCCTGTAATCTCTGCTCTTCCAAGAGAGTATAAGTAAAAAGTTCCTCTCCTTCCTGCACCTCTTACAGGCTTTAACCCCTCCCCGTAATACAGTAGTGACTTATTCTCTAATCCATAGAAAAGCTAATATTTGGACCATTGCTGAACCTATCTTACCTCAATTTGTTCAGAACCCTTAAAGGTCAACTTAGAGGTCAAGTCACATCTTCAAATTCCAACAGAGGAAATGTATATGTGTTGTGAGGAAGTCAGGGACCCAACAAGAGGGACCGACTGAAGCCGTGGCAGAAGAACACTAAATTGTGAAGATTTCATGGACTATTATTTAGTGTCCCCAAATTATAACTTTTATAAATTTCTTATACTGGTTTACTTCAATCTCTGAACCATAAATTGTGAAGATTCATGGCACTTATCACTTCCCCAATCAATATCATTGTGATTCCTTGCCTGTCTTCACTCTCTTAATCCTGTAATTTCTTTGTAACTGAGAGGATGAATGTTCCCTCAGGATCCTGTGATGATTGTGTCAACTGCACAAATTGTTGTGTAGAGGCATGTGTGTTTGAACAATATGAAATCTGGGCATCTTAAAAAAAAGTACAGGATAACAGCAATGTTCAGGGACACAAGGGAGGTAACTTGGAACTGCCTGCCAGTGAGCCAGATGGAACACAACCATATTTCTCCACTTTCAGAAAGCAAATAGGAGAAATATTGCTGAATTCTTTTTCTCAGCAAGGAACATCCCTGAGAAAGAGAATGCTCCCTGAAGGTAGGCTTAATAGACGGTCCCTTTAAGGCGTGCTGCCTTTTACGGTCTAAGCCGAAGGGAGGAATAAGCCCCAGTCTCCTGTAGTGCTTCCCAGCTTATTTAGGATGAGGAAATTCCCGCTAATAAATTATTGGTCCAGAAGGTTGTCTGCTCTCAACCCGTTTCTTGATAAGATGTTATCAATGACAATGCGGTGCCCAAAAACTTCATTTAAGCAATTTTAACCCTCCTTTCCCCGCCCCACCTTGTGGTCCTGTGTAACTCCCTCCTGTCCTCATTTGCGTGTTATGTTAATTACTCTGTGAATATGTGATGCTCTGGGACCTCACCTCCTATTCGTGCACTCCCTCCCCTTTTGAAAACCGCTAATAAAAACTTGCTGGTTTTACGGCTCAGGGAACATCACGGATCCTGTCGACATGTGATGTCTCCCTCGGACACTCAGCTTTAAACTTCTCTCTCTTGTGCTCTTTCCCTTTATTTCTCAAACCAGCCGAGACACTTAGGAAATAGAAAAGAACCCATGTTAAACATTGGGAACGGGTTCTCCCGATATATATGTACTTTGAACCACTTAAAACTTGTATTTATATGCTCACATTTTAAGTACTGAATGAATACTTTTTGATGAGTAATAATTTCACTAGAGAAAAAAGAGATTTCAAAAAGGAACACTGATAGAGCTAGATGATTACTTATAGGGAAAAAGGATATATGTAAAATAATGTCTAAAGAGAAGAGTAGGAATGTGGCTGGATTATAATGTAATAATACTATGCTTTATCTTTGTCATCACATTAATAGTGTTAAAATTGTACCCTAGGCATACACTTTGTCATTAGATTTTGATTTGGATTATTACAGCAGCGTCTGTGTGTTAACTGCTTACACTGGTTCACATATTTAAATCTATGCAAATATCTCATTTAATCCTCACTACACTCCATTTGACAGATAAAATTGTGAAGAATAGTGATACAAATATCTGCAAATTCTAGAGCACTAGTGGGAGATTAAATATAAGAATTATTTTTCAATGCATAGGCTTTCACTATAAATTATCCATTTTACTACTTAACATGAACTTATGATCTCCTATGAAAAGGAATTTTCAGGGTTATCAAGTTTCCTAGGAAAAATAGGCCAAAGTACTCTTAATGCTTTAAATAAAAAGACCCCTAGAAACTGTGATATTTTTAATGAAAACACATTATTTAATTGGGTTTTTATTAGATTTTTATTATAACATTTGAAAAACAATGAACATATAATTGAGTAAAACCATTCACTGTACTTTTCCCAAGAAGCAGTGAACATAATCCATAGTATGTCTTTGTGCTTGTTTTAGTATTTGGATTGTATTTGAGAAAATAAATAATATTGAATCACAAAATGACATATCTTGATTGAGTCATTAAGTTTTCAGTTAGACTAGCAAAGAAATAAAAATCTCTTTCAGATTCATCAGAATTTTTCTGCATAATTTTTCAATCCTGAGTCCACAAAGCACAACAGCATTTTCCATAAAGTTATGGTGGAGAGGATATGTTTAATTTACTTTTTTCCAAAAATTATTGTAAAATAATACCATTTTATCCTATAGTCTCATAGTGCCCTATCTTCAGTTCATTGCACTTTACTTATGGCATTCCTCCATTCTTTTTGTGTTTCCCTCTTCCTCTCTATTTATCCAAAACTTACGCATTTGTAAAGTCCATTATTTATCATGCCTAGAAAAGTTACTTAATAATTCATGCTAAGAACTACTCTTTTACATTTTATATCACCAATATTAACAGTTTTTCGCATATTAACGCCATTGTTCACAAATTAATGTGTATTTTATAATCATAAAAAATTTAAGTTATATGAGGATATTGATTTTTTAATTAATCCTACCACAAAACGTAACATTTTTAGGTTGTAATAGATATATGTTTACTAAATTGAATAAATTGCTTCCATGAGATAGGTGGGTCCAACCAGAGTGCATCTATTCAAACCTTCCTTAAGATACAACAAGTTCCCATGACTCGTGTTATTGTAGAATGATAGATGTGAATGCAAATCTTTTCTCTCATCTTTTGCATAACTTCAAGGAAATTCCTGTGGCAAACTCATGGATCAGATAACTGAGAAGATTCTATTATTGCTGTAATTACAATTCTATTATTGCTGAGGTTCTATTTTATCTAAACACTTTGCTATATCTTGATGAAGGTCTGAGGCATTTCTTATAATACCAATGAACTAATATACAGGGAAGCCTCCTATTCCCGGCAGCTGATCATGACACAAACAAGATAAGATAAAAATGCTCCTATCATTTATTATAAAACAATAGCTAAATTCATATAATGCAGGCATGATTATTTTGCTTTTCCAGTTTAGAACTGAAAACCACTATGGTTTTCCCATTTGAATATATAATATATGTCCCCCCTCTCACATAAGGACATCTGAATGGATGAGGAAGAACACTCTTCCAAAGATGACCAATCCATCAATTGATTGAATCAATCAGATAGTCTCTTCTGACAAACTGGAGACAAAGATTCTGAAAAGATAAGAAGATAGTTAAGACAGAGAAAAAAGCTAAAACCAATCTATTATCAAAATATGATGGTCCACCTTTTTTCTTTCTGATGCCCTAATCGGCTTTTATTTTATTAATATGTGCTTAATAAATCTCACTTTACTTGGGCAAACTTGAGCAGGCTTATGGTCATTGAAATTAAACAAGACTCAGATATCAGTATTTATTACTTGTGTTGGGATTGCAATACATTCTCAGAGAAAACATAAAGAATGTAGAATTACTTTTGGGTCAAGCTGGCCTTACGTCTTAAATTGGGAAATAAGAAGTTTTCATCTGTCGTCACTCGACACTATATGACCACTAAGGTTGTAAAATTGGGGAACCAAATACTTTCTTCTATAGGATAGTCCAAATGGATTAGTAATACAGAAATATGTGGGTTAGATAAGTACTTATCAAAATACTAGGCAAGATTTTGAGAAAATATAATAATTAATTTAATTGCTGGATTGGCAGTATTGGCACACAAAAAGAAACACACCCATTCCTCAGTAAGAAGCCTTTTCTACCTGTAATCAACATGTTGAGATCTCTAAAAAACAAGTTCAGAAAGAGGTTCACATCATTTCTAAATTTTTCCCAACATTTTTTGTTATGACAGCTTTAAACATACAGGAATATTATAGGAATTATACTGTAATATCTGTATACCTGATGTCTAGATTCAGTAATTGTTAAATTTTAACTATATTATATACATGTTATGTACTCAATTGTTTTAGCACATCTTGTTTTATACATTTGCTCATAGGTTTCAGATGTCAGATTTCTTTTTCTCCAAATCCTTCATGTTGCATTTTCTAAGAATAAGATATTTGCCTATATAAAGGTCATTTGCAAACCTAATAAAATTAGCAGTAATTTCCTAAAATCATCTAATATCCAGTTCTTACTCAAAAACTTTCAAACCTAATAATTTAGCATGAGGCTCATAGAACTAAGAAAAATAAATAATAAAATTCGTAACTATGATAGAAAAAAGAGACTCACATAAGTAGCTTATTCGTCAAGGTAGAAAACATTGGAAAGTAGAAAATATTTTGAAATGTATATATTGCAAAAAAGTACGTTTAAGTCAGTTACTTAAAAATATTTGTAAAAAGTTAAAACAGCTAATTAATGCTCCCCCAAATTGAAAATGGAAATAATAAAAATAAAAAAGATTAAAAAATTGAAAAAGGAAATAACAAATATTATTTTAAAAAGAGCAGAATTTCATGAACTAGAAAGTCAACAAATGAGAAAACATAATTTACAAGTCCAATTTTTCTTTTTTTAAAAAATTAACATTCACAATCCCATAAAACTGGACTAAAAATAGGTATTAAAAGGGCACAAATATTAACAATGAAAAGGATAAAAACATTACATCAACAAAAATGAAAAGAAAATGAGTATGGTAGATTGACTGAAAAAATGGCTTCTATGCTTTTCCCCTCTATCTTTTCTTTCACAATGTGACTTTACAGGTCCTCCTATAGAAAGGTTGATTCTACTTCCACATCCTTTGAAGTTGGTCTTGTAGTTTTCTTGACTGACAAAATGTGGTGTAAAATGCTGATGTGTGAGTTCTAAGCAAAGGTCTCAAAAGGCCTTCCACGCTTCTACTCTCTCTCCCTCTTTCTGTTAGGCCCCTACTTTCTCCTTATGAACAAGCTCAAGTTGGTCCACATGGATAAGAAACCATGTGAAGCAGAGCCATTCAAGCAATAAAGGCATAGCAGAGGCTCCAGAAATGTAAGAGGGGACAGCCAAGAAAAGCAGTGCTGCTCAGCTTAACACAATGGCTGCTGCTGCATAAATGATCCCTCCAAGTCCAGCTCAGACTAAAGAACTGTGCCATGTTGCCAAGCAGAAAACACAAATTCGAGAAAAATAAATTAAATAAATAAATAAGTAAACATGTAATAGTGAAAAGGGAGAAAGAAAATTTTCACTATTTTCACATAAATTGATGTCTTCACACAGAAAATCCAAACAAATCTACATTTAAACTAAAATTAATGAATTTATGTAGTTCATCAGATCAAAAAACAAAAATGAAAACAAAAAAACACCCATCCACACAAAGCAGTATATATTGTTTTAAGCCGGTAAATCTTAAGGTAGTTTGTTTCACAGGGTGACTGTGGGAATACATAATCAAAAAAATCAGAATATTATAAACAAATTTATGCCAATAAATAGAAAAAATTAAATAAAATTCTAAGAAAAAACACAGATTTCCAAAACTGATAGAAGAAATAAAAAACCCAATTAGAATGAAATTTTGAAACCTATTAGAATTGAATCTAATTAAAACAATTATCTGAATAAAATTCCATATCCAGAAGAAACTCCATATGAAAACCTTTAAACAAATAATAAATTATACCAGTCCTAAATAGCCACTTTTATAAACTGAGAATATACCACATTATTTTTATGAGTCCAGCATAACCTTGATACCAACATCCTAAAAATATAATATCTTTTATGACTAGGTACAATGATAAACAAAATATTATCAAGAAAAATTTATCAATTAATAAAAATACACTGTGTAATTTAAAAAAAATGAATTGATTCCAGGACTTCAGGGGTGACTTAAAACTTTTAGATCAATTAATACAATTTTCTAAATTAACAAAAAAGGAGAATTATCATAATCATCTCAAAACCCATTTGTAATATTAAATAACAGAAAACTATAAATAAAATAGAATTTTCTTAGTCTGAAACAAGGCATTTATTTTCAAAATGAAAAGAAATATCAGATTTAATGGTGAAATAAAGGAAGATATATTCTAGTCTGAAACAAGGCATTTATTTTAAAAATGAAAAGAAATATCAGATTTAATGGTGAAATAAGGGAAGATATATGACTTCTGTAATGACATAAGGATATCTCCTATGACCCGTTAATAATTATCTGGCAAAGCCTGACCTGTACAATAAGCCAAATGATTATATTGCAGAAATAAAAATCAACTTATGTGCAGACATGATTTTTTTTCATAGAAAATTTAAAAAAATTACTTCAAATTATTGGGATTAGTTAATTGAGCTGATCACTCTACTGGACATGAAGCTAGTATAAAAATAAATTGTAGTTACATATATACTAGCAACAAACAATTAGAAAGTTGTTTTTTTTTTTTTTTAATGACACCATTTATAATGGCGTGGATCTAATGAAGGCTAAGTCGAAACTTCAAGTAGAAAATAAACCATTGTTAAGAGATATTAGAACAGATAAAATAAATTGGGATGTACTATATTTATAAATTAGAAGACAATTCTCTCATATATAGAGATGCAACATAATCCCAATAAAAATGGTAGTGTTTTTTATAGGGGATGGGAAATGACAAGCTGATTCTAAAAGTTATGTAGAAACACAAAGCAGGAAATAATAAAGTCAATCTCGAATAATTACAAATCAGAGATTTTACACTACTAGCTAAAAATCATCTTATAACACTTTACTAAGTAAACAGTGTGGATTGAAACAAGGGTTGATAAATAGACCAGTGGAACAGAATACAGGGTTTACAAACAAACCTACAAAAATGGATAAACCTAATCTATGACAAAGGAGAAACTGTAGAGCCATAGAGGAAGCTTCATCTTCTCAATAAATAATACCACCTAAACTGGATATATATATATAAAAATAATGTTGGCACCTGTCAGACCATATGTAAGATTTCATTTTAGATGGCTTGAATTTCTAAATATAAATAAAAAGTTAAAATGCTTTTGGAAGACTTTGAAGAAAAATTTTTCCAAGATTGCAGTAAATTCTCAAAAAAAAAAAAAAAAGTCAAAAATTTTTTTGTAGGTACATGTACAGGCTTGTTACATGGGTATGTTGCATGATGTTGAGGTTTGCAGTCCAAATGATCCTGTGTCCCAGACAGTGAGGATACTACTCATCAGTATTTCAATCCTGTTAGCCCTCGTAATCTATTGTTCCATCTTTATGTCCATGAGTACACAATGTTTAGCTCCCACTTTTAAATGAGACCACGTGTTGTTTGGTTTACTGTTCTTCTGTTAATACACTTAGGATAATGGCTTCCAGCTGCATCCATGCTGTTGCCTCAAAGTACATGATTTTGTTCTCTTTCATGGCAGCATAGGATTCCATGGTCTATATCTACCACATTTTTTTAAATCCATTCCCCTTTTGATAATCACCTTGGTTGATTCCATGTCTTCACTATGGTGAACAGTGCTGTCATAAACATACAAGTACATGTGTCCTTTTGATAAGAATTTATTTTATTTTGTATACATAACCAGTAATGGGATTGCTGGGTAGAATGGTATTTGTCTTTTATGTTCTTTGAGAAATCTCCAAACTGCTTTCAACAGGTGCTAAACTAAATTACATTCCCATTAACAGTGTATAAGCATTCCCTTTCCTCTGTAGCCTCACGAGCCTCTGTTGTTTTTTCTTTTTAATAATAATCATTCTCAGTGGTGTGAGATGTTTTCTCACTTTGGCTTTTATTTGCATTTATCTGATGATTAGTGATGTTGAGCATTTTTTTCATATGTTTAGAAACTTAAACAATTCAACAAGCAAAAAACCAATAACCTCACTAAAAAGTGGGCAAAAGGCATGAACAGACACTTCTCAAAAGATCACAGCAAATTTTGATTGTGTTCCATTTATATCCCCCAGCCCTCATCTGAATACACCTACTTGTATTATGGACTGGTTCTGTACGTGCAGATAACTTTTCACATCAAGCATTGAGCTTGTCTTCTCTGTGTCAGGATTTTCTCTGGCAATATTGCTTGAGGTAGTGATTCTACTCCTGCTATTTTGGTTCTTCTTGGCTAGGAACAATAATATTTGAATCAGCACACCGTCTATGTTTTACTGATATTATTTTCCAATTTTCCCAGTCAGTATAAGCTAATTAGCTTCATAAATGTTTGTATTGTAGCGAACACACTATACTTCTTAGGAAATATACTATTTTTTGAATTCTGCAGAAAACAGATATTGTTAACTTTCCCCCTGTTGGTGATGATAAATTTGATTACTTCACTAAGGCAGTGACCACCAAATGTTCTCCATTATTTTTTAAAATATTTTTCAAATTGCAAATAATCTGGAAGTGACATTTAATGATCACGTGAATCCTCTTCTCCAAAATAATTCCTCTTTAATTTTAGGTGAATGATAATTTTTGCCTGAGTCAATCATTTCATTAACAGTTGAAAAATGTCATATTAAAAAGAATTTATTAGCTAATGTTGTTCTGTAAAAACATTTTCCTCACCACTTGGGATTCACTGTATCTTCTCATTACACAAAGTAAATGTCTGGTTTCCATTTAATTATCAATTTTTAGAGTAAGAAATTGGTGTTGTAACCACTTCTGAAGATGAATATTTGTTATATTAATTTGATTTTTTTATTCTTGCTTTTTTTTTTTTTTTTTTAAGAAAATCATGGCTTTCTTTTTCTTATTCTTTGGGGGACAGGGTCTCTATCGCACAGGCTAGAGTGCCGATCATAGCTCACTGCAGCATTGAACGCCCAAACTTAAGCAGTCCTTCCACCTAAGGGTCCTGAAGAGCTTGTGACTTTTTATTTCTTCAACCTTTCCTTCTCCGTCTCTCCCTCCATTCTGTCCTTCTTTTATTCACTTGATTCTTTTTTTTAACTTTTAATTTCAGAGGTACATGTGCAGGTTTGTTACATAGGTAAATTGTCATGGGAGTGAGTTGTAGAGATTATTTTATCACCCAGGTTTTTTTTTTTTTTTTTTTTTTTGAGACTCAGTCTGGCTCTGTCGCCCAGGCTGGAGTGCAGTGGCCGGATCTCAGCTCACTGCAAGCTCCGCCTCCCGGGTTTACGCCATTCTCCTGCCTCAGCCTCCCGAGTAGCTGGGACCACAGGCGCTCGCCACTTCGCCCGGCTAGTTTTTTGTATTTTTTTAGTAGAGATGGGGTTTCACCGTGTTAGCCAGGATGGTCTCGATCTCCTGACCTCGTGATCCGCCCGTCTCGGCCTCCCAAAGTGCTGGGATTACAGGCTTGAGCCAACGCGCCCGGCCGGTTCACCCAGGTATTAAGCCTAGTAACCATTAGTGATTTTTCCTGATCTCCCTCCTCTCACCCTCCACCCTCTTATAGGCCCCAGTGTGTGTTGTTCCCTTCTACGTGTCCATATGTTCTCATCATTTAGCTACCACTTATAAGTGAAGACATGCAGTATTTGGTTTTCTGTTTGTATGTTTGTTGCTAGGGAGAACAGAATCCAGCTCCATCCATGTCCCTGCAAAAGACGTTATCTCATTCTTTTTTATGGTTGCATAGTGTTCCTTGGTGTATATGTACCATATTTTCTTTATTCAATCTATCACTGATGGACATTTAGGTCGATTCCATGTATTTGCTTTTGTGAATATTGCTGCCATGAACATACATGTGCATGTGTCTTTACAGTATAATAGAATTATTTATATTCCTTTAGGTATATACCCAGTAATATAATTGTTAAGTCAAATAGTATTTCTGCATTTAGGTCTTTGGGAAATCACCATACTGTCTTCCACAATGGTTGAACTAATTTACATTCCCACCAACATTGTATATGTATTTATTTTTCTCCACAACCTTGCCAGCATCTGTTTATTTTTTCTTTTCGCTTCTTAATAGTAGCCATTCTGACTGTTGTGAAATGGTATCAAATTGTGGCTCTGGTTTACCTTACTCTAATAAGCAATGATATTGAGCATTTTTTCATATGAGTTGGCTATATGTATATCTTCTTTTGAAAAGTGTCTGTTCATGTCCTTTGCTCACATTTTTTTTTCTTGTAAATTTGAGTTCCTTGTAGATTGAATATTAGACCTTTGTCAAACGCATAGTTTGCAAAAATTTTCTCCAATTTTATAGGCTGTTTACTAAGTTGATGCTTTCTTTTGTTTTGCAGAAGCTCTTTAGTTTGATTAGATCACATTTGTCAATTTTTGCTCTTGTTGCAATTGCTTTTGGCATTTTCCTCATGAATCCTTTGCCTGTGCCTATGACCTTAAAGGTATTGCTTTCCAGAGTTTTCATAGTTTGTGGTTTTACATTTAAGTCTTCAACCCATCTTGAGTTAATTTTTGTATATGGTATAAGGAAGGGATCCAGTTTCAATCTTCTGCATATGACTAGCCGGTTATCTCAGCACCACTTACTGAATAGGGAATTCTTTCCCTATTGTTTGTTCTTATCAGGTTTTTTGAAGATCAGATAGTTGTAGGGGTGCGGTCTTATTTCTGGGTTCTTAATTCTGTTTCATCGGTCTATGTGTCTGTTTCTGTACCAGTACTATGTTGTTTTGGTTACTGTAGTCCTCTAGTATAGTTTGAAGTTGAGTAGTGTGATGCCTCCAGCATTGTTCTTTTTGCTTAGGATTGCTTTAGCTATTCATGCTCTTTTGTTTTTATCCCGTCTGAATTTTAAAATAGTTTTTTCCAGTTCTGTGAAGAATGTCAATGGTAGCGTAATAGAAATAACATTGAATCTATAAATTGCTTCTGGCAGTATAGCCATTTGAATGATTTTGATTCTGTGTCTAACTAAAGTCTTGTGTCCTTTGACCAATATCTTTCATCTCAATCTTCCACCTTCCCCCGATCCCTGGTAACCACCATGACACTCTCTGTTTCCAAAAGTTCAAAGTGTTTTCATTCCATGTATAAGTGGCATCATACATTACTATCTTAGCTTATTTCACTTAGCATAATGTTCTTCATGTTTATCCATTCTGTTGCAAATTGCAGGATTTTCTTTTCTAAGCTAAATAATGTGCCATTTTTGTGTTCATGTGTATACATATACAAATGTATACAATATTTTCTTTTTACATTCATTGATTGATGTTAATTCCATATCTTGGCTGTTGGTAAACAATTTCATAATTAACATGGAAGTGCAGTTATCTCTTTGACATATTTTATAAATATGATGAGTTAATATGAAAGTATCCAAATTAAATTAGTTATTACAGGTTGTTAGTTAATTTTCTTGAACTTATATTTGTATCTCTTTTCAATTACATTTAAACTTTAATTCCTAACAATATTAATATAATTACTTGTTTGCTTTATCCTATAATATTTATAAAATGATTTGAAATTGTATTATCAACATAAATATGAACAGTAACCTAATAAGTAAAGTGTAAGATTATTTTGCAGATTATTAAATGTACTATGTTACTAATATCAGAATTTGATTGATAAAAATCTGCTTCATGCAAGTGAGCACAGAAAAACAATCTGCAGAGAGAACAAATAAAAAGACAGTACAGAAAGAGAAGTGAAGACGTGAGACCATGTATCCCTAGATATCACAGAGAATACCCTTGGTTCATTTTTGATTGATATTTTTATGAGTCTTTGTTTCTAGATACCATGAAGCCTGTTGCTTGATTCATCTTTGGTTATTATGACATATATTTTAATATATTAAATATTTTAAGAATAAATATTTAATAATAAAAATGTTAATATTCCACCATGACCATACTTTATTTATTTTTTTTCACATGCTGTTTGTTTGTTTTTTTCTTGGAAGTAATAAATTCCTTGATAAATAAACAAATTCATTTAAAAGTTGATAAATCTAATAATTAGGGCTATGATAAAACTAGCACAAAGCTCACAAGTAGGATAAATGGGTATTAGGTTTATTTAACACTATACCAATATTATCCTTTAAAATCTTAGACATTTCCTATTTTCCCACACGATCCAAGAACTTATTTTCAAGGGTTACCTTGGCTCTTCGGTTTGAAGTAAGTTAATTACCAGGATTTTCTTCCTGCAAAAGATTTGGCCATTGAGGATATATCTTATGAGCAGAGGAGAATATTTTGGAAACTACACAATTGTGAAAAACTGTAGCTCAAATGCATTTGGCCTCTTATAGTTAATCCAAATAATTAAGAAATAAATATGCAAGAATCACTACAGGCATGAGCATCAAAATAGGTCTGTTTCTAATGATACCAACTTAGCAGCAGGAGTCATTGGAAAATGACCAGAAATTTTTTGCTCTTTACCGTTTTCAAAAGAATAGAACTCTCTCAGCATTAAGTTTTTCATGGCAGTCAAAGTGAAAAGAAGAAGCAAAGGTTTCCTATATTTGCTTTATTCTATACCTATCTCATATGAGAATTTTAGCAAAGTTTTGTCTCTGGATTATAAAAACAGAAATCTGGTTGTGGTAGATAAGTGAGAATCTATATAAGAATATGTATAGTTATAGCAAAAATTAGTCGGTGATTTATAAACTTTACATACAGTTTGTCTGGAACTTTTATAGTAATCAGGACATTAATATTTTAGGAGTCAAAAAACCCACATAAAACAAATCTATTTTCAATAACTTTTAGTACCTCACATGTTAACTTCTAATTGTTAATTTTACCTCAGTGTCCTACTAGGACTATTTCCTCATTTGTATGTAGTTTTATAAAGTTATTGGAATATTTTAGACTTGTATTTGAAGAAGTATTCTTTAGGATATTTTAAAATATGCATTGCTGAAAAAAATTTAAAAGTACATGATAAGTGATATCTTTAAAATAAGTTTCAAGTTTTGATAGAAGCAAGTAGTTAGTGGCAAAAAAAAAAAAAAAGGACTTTCTTTCTATGACAATTCCAAAATTATATGTAAAGCCATGGACAATAATATCAGCTATTACCTGCACAAAATATGCCTTATTTCCCAAGTCCATCATTTATCTTTTATGGATCAATTTGTAACTTCATTCAATAAATTTTTTCCTTACTTTCAAACTGCTTACCTTACATTACCTTCTAGCAAATTGTGATAATATTGTTCAATCTTAAGGCAGATAGATTTAGAGTTAGAGTATCCTCATAATGTAATATTTCACTATTAAATTTTATATTAGCACCATATATATCAACTTTTTAAATAATGTAAAAAAGAACATTTTAATATATTATAACTATACAGAGTATATAAAATATAATCATATGATTGATATGAGATTGATTATTTTTAAAGAAAATAACTATTTCATTGATAGAAAGAAGCAAATTGTATAGAGTCATTTTAGGATTAAGCACCTGCAATATATTCTGATATCCAAGAACAGAACTAGGCTGAAGCTAAAATGAAGCCTTGTGTGATCATTTTCAGCATTATAATTTTCTGCAAAATTTGAGTGATTTGCAAAACTGTGATAGATTTCCCTGAATAGGATGGTGGCAAAGGCTTTGTAGATTCAAAAATAGTTTTGCTGAGGCAATGAGAAGTAATATACTATCATATGAGAAGTTGGTTTACCAAGCTAAAAAAAAAAAAAAAAAGCTGAGAAAAATTTTGCCTCTAAACATTGCAAAGTTCTACTTCTCTTATTTTTATTATTATTTTTCATTTTGCTTTTAATATCTCTCTACTGAGGAAAAATATAGTAAGTGTTGTCATTAAACAATAATAATTTTATGAATGTAGTTATAAAAAATTGTGAGTTTGTATTTCTGGAATGATTTGACAATGTTTCTAAACTGAAATATATAAATGTAGTCATCATTTAGCTTCCGCTTATACGTGAGAATATGCAGTATTTGGTTTTCTGTTCTTGTATCACTGTGTTAAGGATAATGGCCTCTGTTATCCTTATTAAGGATATCTGGATGATGAAAAATTCTGTACAACAAACCACCATTACACAAGTTCACCTATGTAACAAACCTGTACATATGTCCCTGAACTTAAAATAAAAGTAAAAAAAAAAAAAAAAAACTAAATTAAGAAAAATATTTTTAGATGCTAGACTTTTGAATATTTAACATAGAACAATATCTCATAAGCATGTTTTCACCTTCTCTGAAGTAATATTACCCTCTGTTTTTGCTAACCTTGAAAAAGTTACTTCATGTAAAATTTTAATATTTGTAGTTGTTTTTTATAGGATGATAAGACTCCTATCATAAGAATATCAGCTACTTCATCATGGCCAGAACCAGAAGTCCCAAGTACAGGTAAATCATAACTTTCTTCAAAAGTTTATAGCTTAAACTATTTCTAACTTTTTTTATAATAATCGTCATATCTCATTTGAAAACTTTGAGTTCTGATATATTTTTTTTTCCTACAGTTCTTCGAAATTGTAGAAGGGAGCACAAGCTTCCCAACTGAACTAGAATTTCCATAAATAGCAAAGACTCTGAGCAAAACTTATGCCTTAACCCGTTTAACTGTAGACCCAGCTGAAGCTTTCAGTCAATTACAGTTTTAATTTAAAGTAATAAAAATAACATCTTTCTAAAAATTAAATTGAGGCAACTAAATATTTTATATCAGTTCTAGAATGATCATGAGATGTCATAATACTTGATCACTGACAATAGACACTGAATTTACATGTAAAACTTAGAGGCAAAAGCTTTCATATCCCATGATGTGTTCCCTCAGCCATGAAACTGAGACTTTTTAGAAACTGCAGTATAGAGATTTTGTGCTTATTAAGGAAGGCCAAAGTGTGATGATCTAATGAAATGTGACCAGTTTAGAGGGGAAACAGTCACCCTTTACAAATGGTGAAGGATTTAATAATTTATTTAAAATTTAGGAATATAAGGAATGTTAATAAGAATCTTACAATACATATTCATCAGGCTAAACTGCTTATGGTTGGGTGCCAGTAAGCAGATTCTTTTTTATGTGGCAGGAATTTGTTGTTGTAAACTATGTGCTGGAGAAAGAAGAGGTCACAAATGTGCAATTAATATTTTTTTCCAGTTTAGGCCATAGGTTTTCTAGCTTGAATCCGTGAATGATTCAAGGATTCAGCAGTTTGGCTGTGGTTTGGGTTCTTAATTTCCTGCCAAACTTCTTGTTGTTCAGAACAGGCAAAAATACATCTATTTTGACTGTAATTATGCGAAGCATCTTTAACAGCCTATACACAAGACATAAAGAAAAAGTGAAAGGAAGATGCTTACTTAATTCAGCTGAAGACTTAATTAGGAACTCAATTCTATCATTTAATATTGTATTTTATTCTCATGTTTTTTTTTCTAATAGAAAATAATGGCATGCCAATTGTATATGATTATGGATAGCTATTTATGGAACCGGTTCTTGCGTCTACACTTAATTACATTTTGTTTGGAGGTTAACATTATATTACAACTGTAGCTTTTATTTCAATCTATTCTTACAGTTTTTCTTTCTCATTAGGACTTAGATTGCTGGTTTGTAGGATCTCTTGTTTATGATTTTTTCTATTTTTGTTTTCTATTTCTAGACCTGTTCCCTAGTGCATTATTCTCGATGACTTTAAAGTCATTTAGAGGTAGAAGAAAGGAAATAATTCATTTTTGCCATATGCTGAAGTCTTGATAAACAATGTATTCATATGTTAAATAAAAATATACTGTATATTTTGTGATTCCTAATGAATACATTTGATTTTTGTTTAGCTTGTCTTCTGTCTTTACCCTGGTATCTACCTATCCTGCTACAGGATCATAATTCCTAAAGCCTACCCATCTCAAGTCACACAAATATGCATTGAAATAATCATGGATATTCACCATAAACATGGAATTGTTCACTATGTTTCATGGCTTCATGTTGCTTCCTAATCTGCAACATAATTTAGAATCCTTCCTTTATTTACAAATATCATAGAACTAATGCATTTTATGTAACCAACAATAAGTCTCAAGAAAGATGAGACTAGATTCATGTTTCCATTAACACCCCTACTTGACAGCAGCATGGTTTCTGTAACGTCTAACACTATACCTGACCTAATCATTTTCATTATTTAGTGATCCCTTGCTAAGTATTTTACAAAGTTACTCTAAATTATATTGGATGAGTCTATTTAAATGAATAAATCACATAGTTACATTTTATTGTCATTTTATATTACCTAGGAATGAAGTCAATATTATACTTTATAAATTGAAAGCATGTCTTGCTATCATGTTACGATACGCCAACCAACAAATAGGTTCTTATTTTTATTCATGGGATTCTGTAACCAATAACTGGCTGGTAAAGAATGTGTCGAAATCAATCAAGTCGTAGATACACACTCAATGGATGGATAAGGAGAGGCACTAGGTCTGCTCATAAAATTGCACTTTACATCTAACAATAGAAGCTATTTTTTCATTAGAGTTCCAAATATCTCAGTGTTTGGGGAAGTCTCCAGGTAATATATGCAGTGAAGAACATTACTAGGCACTGGGAAACAATAGGCTTCCGTCAATCAACATATATTTGAATATGAACAGCTTTTAGGGAAGCTTTGGGTATTTTTTCTTTCACTGACATTGATGTTAATTAAGTATCATAATTTAATGAACCCCCAAGAAGATTGACATTTGTACAATTAATCTTCACCTGGCACACAAACCTGATCCTCTGAATCAGAATTTCAGACAACGGTACTGCCGCTGTGCACATACAATTCTGACACCGACTTGGCTTCTAAGTCTCCCATTATATTCCTAAGCATGGCAGCATAAAATAAATTAAGCTAGACAAGGCTTCAGACACAATTCTTGCTTTAGTCACTTGAGATGAGTATATAGAATGAGTAGGGACACCATCAACTCTGCTAAGGTTTACTAAAGATCCAGGGCAGCCATGGTGGGATAACAAAATAATAATTTATAAAGTGTCTTCCATTATATTTGCATATGTTTTTACATGCATTCTCATTTATTCTAGATTCCGGTTGAGGTATTTGCTTTTATCTACTCAAATTTACCGAGTAATTATCCCACTGGAGGACTCATTACTTCTGAATTTTTATTCCGCCTTTGTTT